TGTGGCAGCTTTTTTTTTTTTCTCAGTTTGCCAAAATTATAAAGGAAGAACAAAAATATGACAAGAGGTAACTGGTTGGCTACGAACCCATGAAAAAGCAGGACTTCCTCCAGAAGTCAGGGGGCTGGCTGAGCAACGGAGGAACCATGCAGAAAAATGCAGCTGTTTCCTCTCAAGCAATTTTACCATAAAACATTCAGTGACAGCTTCTGTCCCAGACCACAGGCAGGTAGAGTTAATTACTTTCTTCATTTCCATAAAGGTCATAAACCAAAAAATAAGCATGACTACTGAGGCAGAAGTGTGATGGACTTTCAGTAAATACACAGAGAAAACACATCACATAAAGCATGCAAACGCCTGTTTGCCTTTTGGGAAGGATGCTTCTAGGAGGAAAATAATAATTTCTAACTGCTTAAAAGCCTTACTGCCTAATTCCCGATAAAACACAAACATATTGGCTTTTATCTGTATAACACCTGATTTCATGGCCAGGACAATTAGCCAATGGTGTTCCAGGATGCTATTGGCCAAAGACCCTTCTCTTTCATGTGGCACTTAGATGTCTGGGTCAGGCACCCCCAGGCCGGCCATTTGCAACTGAACTTCTGATTTAATTTCCAGAGGATAGATATTTGCCAGGCTACCCTTGAAATGATAAACTACCTCTTTTCTTAAGACTCTCAACAGTGCCATCAGTCTGATATTCTTCCTATAGCCACAGACAAAATTAGAGGATGAGTTCTCATTTTTCTACTTATGTCTGTTAAAATGGCCAGAACACTTAGCATGATAGGGTCTGAAATAGAAAGGTATTAAACAAGTCAAGGAAAACTGGTTCCTTACAGTATTCTGATGCTGTGTTCCCTGAATCAATCAAGAGGGCATTGGCAAGGCCCTTGGCAGACAGGGCTTTGAGGAAGGCTCACCAGCTGGCCGCTCTCCTGTTCTGTCCAGGCTGGTGGGGGAGGCCACCAGGAGCTTCCTCTGATGTTCCTACATCAAAGGATTATAGATGGAATGAAGACCTTAGAAACCATCTCGTTCAATATCTTCCATTTATAGAAAATGGAGAGGAAAAATGACTGAGTCGGCACCTCCTGACTGGTGAGGGTGCATTTGGGTTGGCCCTGTGTCCTTACGCCCTGGCAATGCTGCTTTTACCTCTTGGTGACATGTGACAAAGCAGTCAATAATAACGAAATGTTATATGGCACTGCCCTTTCTTAAATGTACTTTTAAAATATAAAGCCACATTAAAAAAAAATCACAAACAAAGCAGATTTTGAAAATCTCATGGAATGGATAGGGGAAGTTTCCACCCCTCAGCCCGTTGATACTTAATGTTCTGAAGTTAGGACTGAATAATCACCAGTCAAAACTATGGTTGTTTCAGGAGGGTGAGAGGCTGTAGGTTGGTCCTGCAGAGACTGGGCATAGGAGCCTAGCCGTGGCCACAGCTCAGGAACATCATCTGTCCTCTTTGCTCACAGGGACAATGTCACCATTGATGGCCTTGTTTCTTGTAAGCAACTCTTATCCATGCATGTTCCACAGACATTTCATTTCTGAATTCTGAAGGTATGATGTCAAATTTCACATACACCGCTTTAAGTCACACATATTTTGACTGAGGGTGGAGAGGCAAAGAATGTAGTATTAGGCTGGGCATGGTGGCTCACGCCTGTAATCCCAGCACTTTGGGAGGCCGAGGCAGGCAGATTGCCTGAGCTCAGGGGTTTGAGACCAGCCTGGGCAACACGGTCAAACCCCATCTTTACTAAAATACAAAAAATTAGCCAGGCGTGGTGGTGTGCACCTGTAGTCCCAGCTACTCAGGAAGCTGAGGCAGGAGAATTGCAAGAACCTGGGAGGTGGAGGTCGCAGTGAGCTGAGATCGCGCCACTGCACTCCAGCCTGGGCAACAGAGCAAGACTCTGTCTCAAAAAAAGAAAAAAGAATGTAATATTAATATATCTTCTAGCACTTTGCAGGTCTTACCTCCTTTAATCCCAACAGCAGCCTCAAGAAGTACATGTTTTTATCTTTATTTGACAGATGTACAAATATAAGCTCAGAAAGAATTTCCGCAAATACTTAGGACCACTAAGTGAACAGGGCAGGATTAACCAAGAATCTTTCTGATGTGAAAATCCATGGTGTTTTAAAAACGCACATTTCACAAACAGTCCATCTTAAATGACAGTTCCAGGGCCCAGGAATCATTCTGCCATTAAAAAGAATTCCTTGAAATAATTGTGGAGATTTCAAATACCGAGTATTTTTCAAATTCTTCAAAAGTAGAGGTAGGTACAGTATTAGAGATAAAAAATAATAATTATCAGGAGGCCTTATTTGGTGTTTCTATGTGTCAGGCAATGTTCTAAGTGCTTATTGGACATTAACTCATTTGATTATCCTAGCAATTCTGAGGCTCTGAGGGAAATACTACTGTTCCTTCCATTTTAGAGATAGAGAAACTGAGCACAGAGAGGGTGAGTAATTTTTCCAAGGTCACACAGTAAGCGGCAGAGCTGGGGTTCACATCAAGACGGTCTGCCTCTGAGACCCTGCGTTAGCCACTCTGCTGTGCTCTCTGTCCTAGCCCTCCCCAACCTGAAGACCACGAGTCAAATAATTTTTAGTAAGGCCGTTATAAAATGAAACACTGAAGATTGCTATATTAAAATTTATCTGAAAATACATGCTTTTTGGATATGGAAAGTAAAATACAGTAACAAACAGCATGTGTTTTACAACTCTAAAGTTGCTGGAATAATCCTTGATCTCAATGAAAACCAAGCTAATGAACCTAAAAAATTTAAAATTTATTTTCTTTTTTTTAAAAAAAAATCAGTCCTTGTAGCCAATTGAACTAATTCCTTCCCAGTCCCAGCGGGCTATACCAACTGGGAAAGCCTTTGACCAAATTGACATCAATACTATGGCTTTCGATAGGAGAGGCACAGACTTGCAAAGTTAGCAGGTTTTTCTTACTTTATAACTGAGGAAACTGAAGCTCAGAAGGGCCAACATTCCCATTGTTGGAATCAGACTTAGGACTGTCAGTTGTACTCATATCTACAGTTAAACCATCCACTTCACCACAGAGATTCATTAACTTCACTCTGCTTTAATCACAGACATGGAATGAAATTTAAACAAAGCAAAAGCAGTAACAGCAACAAAAGCAGGATCAAGGACATTTCAAGAAAGCAAGTGTCTGCACACCTGCTGCAGATCACACACAGCCACATCTAGCCCCTAGTGCATTCCATCCATCAGCAGGTCTCTTTGGCTTTCCTTTAAATTTGCCCAGAAGTTTAGTTCAAGACATGACCATTTCCTGAAAGTCTCTTAAGTGATCTCCTTTGTTCATCTCAGACCTCCTCCCATCCGCCCTCCACACAGCAGGCAGAACGACACTTCCAAAACGTCACTCAGATCACATCACTCCTTAGCACAGGACCCCTCTGATAGCCTCCATTTTTCTCAGAGCAAAATCTGCATTGATATCCTGGCTCCCAGCGGCCTTCCCCATCACCTCTCACACTCCTCCGCCCTTGCCCAGTGCTCTCTGTCCACACTGCATCTATGCTGTTCCTGGAATACTTCAAACATGCTCCCACCTCAGGCTCCTGCACCTCCTCGTTTGTCTTCATTGACCTGGTCCCTTCCCAGAGAGCACACTCACTTCAACCAGTTCTTTGCTGAAATGTTATGATATTAGACTGTCCCTCCCTGAATATACTATATAAGCCATCTTAAACATGCTCTAGCCTTTGTCACCATTTTTCTTCATGGCAGTTATTGTCCCATGACATTGTGTGTATATAAGTGTGTGTACATACACACCTGTGTGTTTCTATGTGTGTGTACATATATAAAGGTATATATCTATCTATATGTGTATATATCTATGTGTAGGTATACCCACGTGTATATTTATGCGTGTGTATCTATGGGTGTATTTATGAATTTATCTATGTGTGTGTACATATATACAGGTATATATATATCCATTTGTGTATGTATCTATGTGTATGTATACTCACATGTATATTTATGTGTGTGTGTCTATGGGTGTATTTACAAATGTGTGTATCTATGTGTATGTATATCTATGTGTGCATATATATGTGTGTGTAACTATGTATGTCTATGTATGTATGTGTCTATATGTGTGAATATCCGTGTATGTGTATCTCTGTGTGTCACCATGTGTGTATTTATGTATGTGTGTATTTGTGTGTGTGTATTCATTTCTCCTAATAGAAATATAATCTCAAAGGGAGCAGGAGCTGTGTTTACTTCACCATTGCATCCCGTGTGTCTAGAACACAGTAGGTGTTAAATATGTGTTGAAGGATAAATAATTTATGATCAGAGCAGAAATCTGAAACACAAAGTTAAATTATCTCCCATGTTAGAAAAAAGAATGTAAATAATTGCATGCTGCACTTTAGAATGATGCTTTCATTTAAAATACATTAAAGTTATTCTAGGGTTTAATACTTAGATACTGTAAAAATTTTTGCACTGCAATATGACTTACTGCCTTGAATGAATTCATGAACAGGTAAGGTTTTATTGCTGGGTGGCAACTATGTTGAATTTCTTTTCATGGGTTAGATTTGCATTTATAAGATTTTTAAATTATCTGTGCATTGTAAAATATATGATGTTCATGAGGCTTATACGATCACGTAGCCAAAGTAATATGAGGAATAGGTAATAGTTAGTGAAACATGCTATTTCTGGCACTAGTCTAGACCTTTCACCCACCCTATGTTATTTAATTTTCAAGAAGCCTGTGGGGTAGGTGGGAACTATCATTACCTTCAACATATAAATGAGGAAACTGGGAAACACAGAGTTAAAACATCCTAATCGAGGTCACACAACTCATCAACAGTGGCCAGAATACAAAAAGGCAGTTTGTCCATTCTTCTATTCAGCCATCCATTTTTTAATTTAAAAAACACCTATTGTGTACTTACAATCTACCAGGAACTGAGTTATGTAACAAGGATGCAAAAGAGGGATGCAATCTCTACGGTCATGATGATCCCGGCATAGGACAGAGGAGTGGACCAGCTGTCAGGCTGCCCAAGCTACCAGCTCCACCTGGGGAGACAGAAACCAGGCAGGGAGTCAGTTCCTTCTCCCACTTTGGAGTCCTGTTTCAATGGTGGAGTCATTAAGCATCACAGAATGATCCAAATTCTCTGTTTTCCCTCCCTAGAGTCTTCAACTGAAGTCATAAAAGAAAGGGGCTATTTCAGTCCTAAGTTACCTAAGCGTTAATGTTTGGTTCTGTGGGTGGCCTTGAATTTGTAACTCTGCAGCGTGCCACTCTTGCTTCACTTCATCCAGGTTTTTCTTGACATCTGAAGAGGCAGTATCTCTAGGGAGTGTATTTTTGTATTTCTCCATATGTTGCTTTTTGTCCCCTCACATATATTGCCAATAAGACTTGTGAGTTCCACCACAGGCCAGCTCTGCAACTTATGTTTAGTGTTGGCCTGGAAAGAAATATTATTATTGTCATTGATTCATGTCATTTCCTCTATTGTAGAAATGATATTTTCTTGCATTTTCCCTCAACAGACTGAGGCATTTTCTTCCATCTTATTTTATCCATACTTCGTACATTGCTCACAGGTTTTTCTCATTCAGGATTATATTTGCTTCTACCTTTTATCAAAAATCTATTTAACAAAGTGCCCTCCCTCCACGTTAATCCTGTAGCTTTTCTTTTGGTTGCTTTTCCTGATACTTTTCATTTTTCCATTCCTGTAGATTAAGGTCATTTTCCGCATATTTGGTTCCTTGCCACAGTCCTCTCCTTCACATCTGGCTACATTGACCTTGGTTTCATCCAGAACATGACTACCACATACTACTGAAACCAGAGATGCGCTGATGCTGGAGAACTTTTCCTCTTTTTTCTTTCTCTTTCTCTCAGATAGTCACTGTACACTCATATTCAAGTATGCCTATGGAGCACATTTACACTCATCTAACGTTTTCTATGTTTAGAGAATAAATGGCAACAAGGACTATAAGACAGCAAAATGTGGCATCTCTTCAATTCCTTACAACCAAATGGGGAAGAGGAGGATGAGCGTACGTGATTTTAAAAAACATTTAAAAAATTGTAGTAAAATACATGTAACATAACATTCACCACGTTAACCATTAAGTGTCAAATTCAGTGGCATTAACTATATTCACAATGATATACATCCTTCTCTAGAATATTTTTCATCTTGCAGAATTGAAACTCTTTACCCATTAAACAGTAACTGCTCCTTTTCCCTCTCCCAAGTTCCCAGCCATCAGCATTCTATTTTTGGACTCTACAAATTCCACTACTCTATGTTCCTTGTGAAAATGGTATCATATAGTATTTGTCATTTTGTGACTGGCTTATTCACTTAGCATAATGTCCTCAAGGTTCATCTTTGTTGTTGCATGTATCAGAATTTCCTTCCGGGACAGGTGCAGTGTTTCACACCTGTAATCCCTGCACTTTGGGAGATTGAAGCAAGAGGATCACTTTAGCCCTGGAGTTCAAGGCTGCAGTGAGCTATGATTGCACTACTGCACTCCATCCTGGGAAAAAAAAGCAAGACCCTGTCTCAAAATTTTTTTCCCCTCCTTTTAAAGACTGAATGATATTCCATTGTATGTGTATATTAAATTTTACATGTTTATTTATCCATTGATGGACACTTTTGCTTCTGTCTTTTGGTTATTGTGAATAATGCTGCTATGAACGTGGGCATACCAATATCTGTTCAGATCATGAGTAATTCTAAAGTTCAAAGTCACAGAATGATAATAACATACATACACCATGAGAACTTATAGCCATATAGCAGTGCTAAGTGTACTGTGAGGATCGCTGAAGTCAAGTGAGAACTTCATAGAAGAAGGAATTTTTGAGCAGCACTTTCAAGGTACCATGAGATAAGATTTGAAGGCAAAGAGAGAGGGAGGGCACTTGGCATATTTGTATTGTGCATATAAAAATCACAAAAGTTGAGAAATAAATGATGTAGAGAGTGGAGCAGGGATGGGATGTTCTCTAGGCTAGATTAGACAGTACTGGCCTGAATAGATGAGAAGAATGCTAGTGAGATGATGTAAAATATTAATAACCATGATTTTTTTATTATTATTTTTTGAGATGGTGTCTCGCTCTTGTCGCCCAGGCTGGAGTGCAGTGGCATGATCTTGGCTCACTGCAACCTCCGCCTCCCAGGTTCAAGCAATTTTCCTGCCTCAGCCTCCTGAGTAGCTGGGATTACAGGCACCAGCCACCATGCTAATTTTTGTCTTTTTAGTAGAGATGGGGGTTTCTCCATGTTGGTCAGGCTGGTCTTGAACTCCTGACCTCAGGTGATCCGCCAGCCTTGGCCTCCCAAAGCACTGAGATTAAAGGTGTGAGCCACTGTGCCTGGCCAATGACCATGGTTTTAAAGTTTTCACAGAGCAATCACTACAATGAAGCTGTTGTGAATTTCTCAGAAATAAAGAGGCATCCACCAGACTGTATGTCCCATAAGGGCAGGCCTGAAGAAGTTTGCTTTGCCCACGACTAACCCAGGGCTGATCACAGCTCTTGCACTGGCAGGTGCTCAGTAAATATATGTTAAACACATGAATGAATGCACAAACTGCCAAGGAGGATTGCCACTGTGAAGATGGGCTAAAATTGAGAAAGCTGGCGTTGCAGGTTTTATTGGAAGGAATCAGCCCTCATTGGAATAGCTGAAAGAAATAACAAAGGTATTGGATCTGAAATACTTTAAGGAGGAAGAATCTTTCAGACAAAGCCACTAGAATTCCTTGGCTACAATTTTATTTTTACCTGTTGTCAACACCTGTGTTAGTCTGTCCTATGTTACTCTAATTTTTTATAACTGCTGAGTATTTTCATAGATGTTAATTGTTTTCCCCTCTACTCTAGATATGTTCTTAACAGCTAATTCTGTTTTACAAGGCTCACTTTTGGTCAGTATTTTCTTGTTAAGGTAATCGTAATTCTAAGGATGTAGAAACACAAACACGATCCTAATTAACAGATATGCAAATTGTTTTAGACTGCTTTTCCCTCTTATAGGGAGAAAAAAATCAATATATTCATTAATTATCTTTTGCTTATCTGTAGGTAAGAGATTTTTTAAAAAAAATAATTTTCACCTAACTTTGTGATGATATGCCCACAGGAAATGAACTCCTACTGGCATTGTACCAGTATCAAACATTGGGACTGGATAGTCTTATACGAAGCAAGGGAAGAAGTCTCCATTTGCACATTGAAACACCTCGACTGAAGTCACTGAGTCTACCTTGTGCAATCTGAGTCCTAAATGGAGGAGGATCCATGGTATCCGTCTGTGTATTGCTCTGTGAAAACTTTAAAATTATGCTCATTGGCCGGGCATGGTCACTCACTCCCATAATCTCAGCACTTTGGGAGGCTGAGGCTGGTGGATCACCTGAGGTCAAGAGTTCAAGGCCAGCCTGACCAACATGGAGAAAGGATGAGGAAGGGGTGGATCCCATAGCAGGGATGAAGGCATTACGGTTCCCATTGCTGACTGTTGTTCCCTGCAATGGCTCACACCATGGCATTTTTGGTGAGGAAACTGCAAAGCTTCTGTATGCTAGATTCAAGATACAAAACAAGTGGTTGTATTTTAGAGTGGAGAACAAAGATGTGTGATGTAATTGCACAAGGAGCTGGAGTGAAATGCAGCCTCGCTGACGGGATGGGGGCACCACTGGCAGCCTGGCATTCTGTGCCTGGTAGCAGATGTCACGTACATGCTCCCAAGTCACAGCCACGGGCACAAGGGGGACCCTGCAGGCGCCTTTCCACAGTTATTATTCGAGAGCTCTTTTCTTTAGGTGTTTGTGAAAGGTCAGCGTCTGATCTAATTCCGCCCACAGTTACACAGTTATAGTTTCCTTGACTGCATTTGTCACTCTTTCAGCATCATCTGACATTCTATCTGCTTGCCAGTTTTCTTGCTAATTCTTTTTGGAAAACTATTTTTTCCCCAAATTTGTCATTTTACTTAAAAAAGACATCACAAAAGGGTCTTCTGTGCTATTGAGTTGTCTGATTTTTTGGCAATTCCTATTGGAAAAATCTCACATAAACCACTTCCCTGATGAGAAAAATCATTTATTTAATCCTTATCCGATGTTTTTAACCATTTCTGAACAATTATGAAACAATGAAAGATGACTTTCAATGAATGAAAACAATGAAAGATGAAAGATGACTTCAGCAAATTAATAAGTGATTACATTAAAATGTTTTAGAGAATCTGCAGTAATATATCCTTCTGACAACACGATAATACATCCTTCTGACGATATTGACTTGAGGCTGAGAGGGCAGAGAGCAGGGATGAAGGCATGACAGTCCCAATGCTGAATGAACAAAATGCACAGGAAACCAGCAGACACTGGGCTGGGTCCCAGGGTTCACAAGCGGCCTCCCCAGACCAAGTTTGGGGGAATTGATCAGAATTGGCTTGTCAACTGTCTTAGCCACATTAGCTACCATTCTGCTCAAGGCACCAGGTCCGGCTAGATGGTACCTGGAAGTCTCTTCTCTATAATTCTGTGAGGCTCTTGGTTTTTATATTCCTAGTTGAATGAGATTATGCCCTTGACTCCGAGCCTACTTTCCTGAGGGATATTACCTCTTCTGCCTCTCTGGGCTTTCTTCCTGATCAGATAGTATAGGAAATAGTGTTTTGAAATTGATAAAATGCTGCACAAATGTTAGAGCTTATTAGGTTATGTAGGAGGATAAATCTCTCATTTTGGCATAAATCTGTGGCAAACTTTCTACCATTGGTTTATAAACTTTCAGACTTGAACTGTTGAGTACCTGGCGAAAAATTATTTCTGATATTTATGTCTTTCTTTCTTTGAAGACCAAGGTTCTAGTCTATTTCTTTGCCACTTTGTAACTGTGAGGAAACTGCAACTGCTGGATTTGGGTCTTCACTTATATCTTTTACGTTTTCTCGCTTGAACCTGGGAGGCGGAGGTTGCAGTGAGCCGAGACCGCACCATTGCATTCCAGCCTGGGTAAC